TCCCTCCCCTCCTCCTCTTCCTATCCTCCTCCTCTTCTTCTCCTCCTTTTCCTCTCCTCCTCTTCCTCTTCTTCCTCTCCTCCTCTTCTTCCTCTTCCTCTCCTCCCGCCCCTCTTCTTCCTCCTCTTCTCCTCCTCCCCCTCCCCTCCCCCTCCCATCTGGAAGGGACGTCCAGGCGCACCCCAAAGAGGGTCGTCTCCAGCTTCCCCACTCTTTGGGGCAGGGAGGAGGGGGCTGACTTCCAAAGTCGGGGTGCAGAGAGGGGCCGGGGGCTGTGCTGCCCAAGGGGAGACATCTCCAGCCTCCCGCTCGGCCTGGGCCCCGAGGAGACTTCAGGGGAGGATTGCAAACTAGGCCCGGCAAGTTGGAGCCCAACTGGAGGCTGAGCTGTTCCTGTCCTTCCTGGGGGGGGGGGGGCCTTCATGGAGATCCCCCCCACCCCCAAATTGTAAGGCGGCCTCCTTCCTTTTCCCCCCCCTCCAGGTTGGGGCCCCGCTCTGCGTTCGCCCCAGGGGCTGTTCTGGGGGGCTTCAGCCAAGGGCACAGGACGGGGTTGGGGGGGAGAGTTTTGAGTAGGGCATGAAAAAGAGGAGCGCTGGAATTTGGGGAGGGGGGACCCCCAGTGGGAAATCCTCCCCCCCCCCGCTTGCAGGGCTGAGCTGTCCAATGGAATCGCCTCCTGCACTCCCAGGTCGGCCACCTGTGTGCCTTCTGGGTGGGGCAGCCTCGGCAATGAGGGAGGGGCTGCCCTTTGCCCCAGCTGTTTCGCCTGCCGGGTGGGGCCAGGGCTGGGTGACACCCCCCCACTTCTCCCCTCCTGCACGGGCCTTCCAAGGAAAGCAGCCTCGGGGGGAGGAGGGACCCTCCACTCAAGCCCCCTTCCTCTTTAAAGAAGGCCACACGGAGGGATGAAAGCAGGAAGGGTGAATTGGGGGGAGGGGTGTTTGCCTTCTCTCTTCCCAGCAGGGGTGGGTGGGCGGTGGCTGTCCTGCTCGAGTTGAGGGGGGGGTTGGACTAGATGACCTCCAAAGGTCCGTTCCAACTTGGTTACTCTACGATCTCTCCTTCTGGCTTGTGTCTCTGGTTCGCAGGGGCGGGATTGGACTAGATCACCTCCAAAGGTCCCTTCCAACTCGGTTACTCTACGATCTCTCCTTCTAGCTTGTGTCTCTGGTTCGCAGGGGCGGGGTGGGACTAGATGACCTCCAAAGGTCCCTTCCAACTCGGTTATTCCATGATTCTCTCTGGTTTGCGGTGTCTGCTCAGGAACATTTCAACTACTACTCGGTGGACGCGGCCCTGGGGCACCTGGTTTTCTCGCTCAAGTACGACGTGATCGGCGACCAGGAGCATTTGCGCCTGCTCCTGCGGTAAGACCGGGGGGAGGGGAGGCACTTCCCCAGGGGTGGGGCTGGGACCCCTTTCTCTCCCCCCCCCATTACGGCCGCTCATCCCTGCGTCTCGTCTTCCTCCGCCCGCCGCAGAACTAAGAGCCGTTCGTATCACGATGTCATCCCCATTTCCTGCCTGACGGAGTTCCCCAACGTGGTTCAGATGGCCAAGGCAAGTTTTTTTTGGGGGGGGGGGATATGGGGGTCCCCTCCCCTTTTTTTTTCCCCTGCAAGAGAACCGGATCGGCCGCGGGGTTTGGTGCTTCCCCCGTGGCAGCTGACCCCGTCCCCTTGGCTGCAGCCCGCAGGGAGGTTTCCGTGCCGGTTACAAAAACCTCCCAGGGGATGGTGTGTGTGTCTGTGTGTGTGTGTGTGTTTGAGGGGGTCTCCCCACCCCCTGTGCAGAAGGGGAAGGTGTGTGGGGGGGTCAGGTGTGTATTCACACGGTCTCTTCCCTCCTTCCCCCCCCCCCCCCCGCCCCCGGCAGCTGGTCTGTGAAGATGTCAACGTGGACCGTTTCTACCCTGTCCTGTATCCCAAGGTAAGAGCGTGACTTGAATAATGTCCAGGCGAGGCTCCATTCAGACTCCAAGAAAGGAAACCTTAGTAACTCCGTGATTGTAGACAAAAGGACTGTGTACTGGAAATTGAAGTGGTAGTGTGAGGACCCAAAGGGGCTCTTTAAAATTCCCTTTAAAATTCCTCCAACTTGACCCCCAATGTCCAGTTATCATCCGCTGGAGAAAAAAAAACTCTCCCAAGAACAAGGGAAGAAATTTCGTCGGAGCCCAAAGTACATCTAAATTATAAATAAAAACCAACACAAACCACTTGCTGCAGCAATTAACGAGACAGGGCAGGATAAGGAATTGCGGACTTCCAAAAGATAACAAAACACACACAGTTGGGAGGACGCCAGAACCCAGATAAGACATGACAGACAAAGATAATTCATGCTTTGCTTCCAGCAAGGAGCTGTGCGCAAACACCTTTTATATCCTGTTTTCCCAGCTGCAGCTAATTAAGGGAATCATGGCCCTTTTCTCCCCAGTAACCCACGTTGCTCCTTTATCCATTCTTCCCTGTGTGCCCTAGGATGAAGAGAGGCTGGGCCTGGGTTTTCCTCTGAATGCCCAGCCGGATTGTGGCCTTCCCCAGTTTCCTCCACAGCCAGCAGAGCCACACTCTCCCTCTCCCTGTTAGTTGTTCAACCTCCCCCTCCGAATCAGATTCCAACAGGTAGCATCAGAAGAAGTTACCCCATGTTCCCACCCCCCAAGAGATCAAATTGGCCATCCCATCTGAGGTGTCTATAATGGCTGAGGAGAGCGAGGACTCAGGTGAGGGGCCAGGACCCCTAGGGAGTGGGCTGCTGCCTTCAGAGATTGTGGGGGGCTGGCAGCAGCGATGAGGAGGTTCCTGAGGAGCCTGTGCCCAGTGCGCATGCGTGCAGGATTGCTCGCAGCAAAGAGCAGCTGCAGCAGCACGGGTGACTCAGGAGTAAGGCTGCAAGGTAATGGCCCCTCCTTCAAGAAGATAAAAGCCAGCTGTGCAGCGAACGTTCTTTGCAGGAAGCAAAGACGTTTTGAAACTCAGCCTCGTGGGCATTACAGTTGGCATTTGAAGACTCTTGTGTTGTAAACTATTTCTTATCCGTTGCTTTTTGGCAACCTTGCGAAAACTTGGCAAGGCTCTTTTTTTGTCGGAGCTAATTAGTTGGAAGCGGCCTTTGATCTGTGAAGAAACAGGATTCATAGATGAAACCTTAAAAGGTGCTGCTGCTTGTTGCCTTTGTCTTGTGTTTGTTCTCTGGGAGCCAGGTTTGGGTCAGAACAAAGCAGAAGAAGGATTGGAGGCTGACATTGAGCGGGGGGCGGGGTGTGTCCTGATGGAAAAGCCCCTTCCCCATCTCCCAAGCTCCCCCGCCCTCCTTCTCTCGGTCTCTCCAACCCCGCTGCTTTGCCCGCAGGCCTCCCGCCTGATCGTCACCTTCGACGAACACGTCATCAGCAATAACTTCAAATTTGGGGTGATTTACCAGAAACTTGGCCAGGTGGGTACTCTGCGCCCCGTAGGGAGCAGGAAGATCTGCTTTGGTTGGCCTTGGTTGGGGTGGGGTGCGGGGCAGGGGGAGGAGCCTTTGGCCAGGGTATGGGGGGGCGAAGGAATAGAGAAGGGGGTCCGGGCACAGCGTGCAGAGTCCACCTTCCTCGTTGGAGATCCCTCTGCCCTTCCAGGGAAAAGCTCCCCAAGAGATGCCAGCATCCTCCTTCCCCTCTCCTCGCCCAAAAGGCTTCGGCTGCTTGTGCCAGGGAGGAGGCAGCGCCCCCGGCGGTCCCAGCTGGGGAGGGGGTCTGCTCTTCCTCCCGACGCAGCTGGCGCAGGCTTAGACGGGGCGCCCTGCGCGCCACTTCCTCAGGAGATCCGGCCGGACGCTTGCTGTGCCCGGCGGCAGCAGCCTTTGAGCCGGAGCCAGACCTCCCTCTGTGCTCTCCCCCCCCCCGCCCCCCCCCTTGGCTGCCCGGGCACCCCCCTCCTTTCCCTGCAGACGTCAGAAGAGGAGCTGTTCAGCACCACGGAGGAAAGTCCGGCCTTTGTGGAGTTTCTGGACTTCCTGGGCGAAAAGGTGAAACTGCAGGACTTCAAGGGGTGAGTGCGGCAAAAGGCGGCAATCTGTGCTTGTGTCTGTGTGTGTGTCTGTGCGTGCGTGTATGTAGCTGCCCACCTCCCACAGCAAATCCCCTAAGGGAGGCAGGTCTTGGCCTGAGGCCACTTTTCCTCTGGGGACTGCGCAGGTTCCGGGGCGGCCTGGATGTGACCCATGGCCAGACAGGCACCGAGTCCGTCTACTGCAACTTCCGAAACAAGGAGATCATGTTCCACATCTCCACCAAGCTGCCCTACACCGAAGGGGACGCACAGCAGGTAGGGAGGGCCGTGGGCGGGGTGGGGAAAAACCCCTTCCTCGCCTCCGCGCCCCAGATAGCCGGTGAGGCTAATGTCAGGGTTCCGACGATTGCCCTATTTAAATCATGAGCCTCCAGCTGAGCTTCAATACAGTCTGAAAGGTTTATTAGGAGCAGTATGTCGGCACTGACCCGTATGAAGCCAACTCTGAGGCACGTAATTTACGATCACCCTGTTTCTCCCCACCCCCCTGGGTGTGTCACAAATCAGATTCTCCAACCAAACACGTTCACGGGCTGGGTGTCATCAATCACATTCTCCAATGAAGGATTTCCGTGGGCAGAAGATCCGGTAGCCTAGGCTACAATCGCCACAAGATAAAGAGTTGGAATGTGCTTCTGGCTTTCATCGGCCACGCTGCCCCCCTCTGGCCTGCCCCCCCCCCCCCCATCCTTACGGCCACTCGGAAACAGGCCTAGGGATGATTTACGAGTTGACAGCTGATCTTCTCCCCCAGCTCCAGCGGAAGCGCCACATCGGCAACGACATCGTGGCCATTGTCTTCCAGGACGAGAACACCCCCTTCGTGCCGGACATGATCGCCTCCAACTTCCTGCACGCCTACGTGGTGGTGCAGGCCGAGAACGCCTGTTCGGACAAGACCCTCTACAAGGTGACCCAGGCGGCTTTGCAGGCGGCAGGGGCGGGAAAGAGGGAGGGGAGCCATTTAAATGGGGGTCCTGGGTCCGGCCGTGAAGGGACAGCCCCTTAGTCCCAATGCCAGAGGCTTTCTCTGTCCCATGCAGGTCTCGGTCACGGCCCGGGATGACGTCCCTTTCTTCGGCCCCCCGCTGCCCAACCCCGCCGTTTTCCAGAAGGTGAGTGTGCCTCCTTCCCCGCTCCCCCCGGGCCGGGCCCCCCTCGAGGGCATCCAAGATCCTTCCTTCCTACCCCACCCCGCCCTAGCAGGGGAAATGCTGCTGCTCCGAGGGGCGAGGGACTCTGGGTGGGGCAGGCAAGGCTCAGCTGGGTCTGGGGGCTGCCGCAGGTCAGCCAGGCGCTGTGTCCTGCTGTGGGCCTCATGCAACAGGGAGAATCTCAGCTCGGGAGTGTGTGTGTGTGGGGGGTGGGGTTTGCCCAGCCAAACCAACCCTTGCAAACACACACACCCACACACACACACACACGTTCTCCCTGCAGGGGCCGGACTTCCAGGCGTTCCTTTTGACCAAGCTGATCAACGCAGAATACGCCTGCTACAAAGCGGAGAAGTTTGCCAAACTGGAAGTGAGTTTCGGGGAAGTGGGGAGAAGGGCGGGGGGGGGGGGGGGGGGG